GCTGACAACACACACTAACAACTAATTTCATTAGGAAAATTTAGCTTCAGGCTAACAACTTAATTTTTTTAAAATGCTGAAATTTTTTTTCTACCTCACAACAAAACCATATGGGACAGACGTTCAAAGGTGAAGTAGTACATTTTGTTAATCTAACCAAGGTCCATGGCTACACATACTGACCAAACTAAAACACAGAATACAGTTTTGCAGTCACAAATAGGCGGGTTGTAGTCCGGAGGTGGCCCTCGACCTGCCCATTGAGGCACTCAATGGTCTAAAATTAACGTTTGTTCCCTGCCTATTTGATAACAATAGGAAAAAAAAACACAAGTTTAACATGATGCTGCCTATTTGATAACAATAGGAAAAAAACCACAAGTTTAACATGATGCCACCTAGTGGACTACAATGGATCCTCCTCACTGCTTATGAAATTAGTTGTAGACTAGTAAAGGTCAGATGGAAAATTCAGCATCTTACGGGACGCTGCCGGTAAAGTTGATTCCTGCCAGGTGCTCAGAGGAAGTGACTGTGTCTCCAAACACTGGGCCATCTGCCGGCAGGAACTGGATGATGTTGGGGGGGAGACCACACTCCCTCAGAATCTTGTACACAGCGTAACTTGCCAACACAGCAGCATCACTGGGTTTCCACAGGACCACGTTACCCTGAGAAAGACATTAGTGAGTGTTTAGTCAGTGAGTACTTGGACATCTGGACCAATGGGACGACTAGGATCACACTCACCATCAGAGCCGGGGTTCCTGCCAAGTTTCCACCAATTGCTGTGAAATTGAAAGGAGCCACCGCTGCCACAAAACCCTGAGACACCGACAAAAACTGGAAAATTAGGTCTTCTAGTAATCGGTACCTGGAGGTCACCTTCGTCATGTGTCCAGTAGGGCTGTAATCACTCAGTCACCTGGTGGATTTATTGGTCTACACAAATTCTGATTGGTCGATTTTTTTTGTTGTTATTCATTTATTTTTATATAAATATGTATATATATATTTTTTTTTGTGTGTGTTGATTTTATCTAGAGGAGAGTACCAAAAACAACCCCTTTTTTTTCACTATTTTGAATTAGCCTAATCTACAGATTGTAAGATTGAATAATGGACACGTAGGTGATTTGCTGAATATAATTTACATCATAATATCAAAAATATTTCATTTTGAGCATTTTATTTACAGTCAGTCTCCCATACCATGTCAAAGAAATTGTCAATGAGGCAGCATTTCACAAAAAATAGATGATGAAAAGAAACGTCGAGTGAGCATATCACTAGAATACACTAGCTAGGATACAAACATGGCACATATCACCTAAAAACAGTGAGCTAACTTGTAGGATGCTCTGTTTTTAAAAATTTAAAAATTAACCACCAAGCCAAAGGGTCAGGTGACCTTTTTTTTAAAATGTCAGGCGTATTTGAGCATCTTGAACAAACAAGCTTCAAAACTAGTTTGAAGCTTGTTTTGTTAGAACATGGTGTGTAGTCCATGTGTCATGTGACCTCACCTCCAGGCCGCGGTACAGGGTGGTGTTGGTGCTGCCTCCAGTGCTGAGTGGCTGCTGTGTCGTCAGCTCAATGGCGTGTTTGGCGTTGAACCTGAAGAAGTCGATAAGTTCCGCCGCAGCGTCGATCTCTGCCTGAACCACGGTCTTACCCTGAAGCGCATCGAGAGGGTGTCAGCGAGCCAAAGGTGTTTCTATGGTCTACTGGTCTTTGACCATTTCCCTCACCTGTCCAATCATGGTCTTGGCGAGCACCTCAGCCCTCCGCGGTCCACTGATGACATCGGCTGCCTTGAACAGAATTTGAGCCCGATCCTGCACTGGCCTCAGGTCCCACTCCTTCCTTGCCGCCACAGATGCCACGATGGCTTTGTTGATCAGCTCCTGCAGGGGCAAAGTTAGATAAAGTTATGCACCTCACTCACAGTGATGTCAGCACCATGTGATGTACGACCTCACCTTGTCCGCATAGCAGAACTTTGCAACTTTGTGAGCGTGGTTGAAAGGCTACAAAAAAAAAAAAAAGAAACAAAAAAACATGAATGAATCTTAAAAAAATCATCAATGAGCTTTGACCCCCAGTAGCTTCGGTCTCTCTGTTGCCCACGAGCAAGCAAGTAGGCGCACACACACATACACACTTGGGCTTGTCCAGTGGACTTCTAGTCCCGTATTAATCCTACAATAGGGAAATTCAGTGTGAGGCTTTACAACCCACACAGGCTATCAAGAGGAGGCACCCTTAGTATGTGAGTATCTAGGGCAAAAACCCAGGCCCGGCAGAGCAGGATGGACTAGTCTGACTTGAACAGCTTGAAAAGTTTGGGGTGTTGATTATAAATCAGAATAAAGTTTGACTGTGTTTTCTTCTTTCTCATTTACCAACATCTGAGCAACAAACAAACTCTTGTCTTCCTCGTCTTTTTCTTGATTGGACTTTGTCTGTGTCAGATTTTCCATTTTTGTCTTTGGTTTTTCCAATCGGTTGACAAATGCAGTCATGCTCCTTGCTCACAGACACCCACACCTTCCCCTCCACATGCACACACACACACATATATAGCAGCAGCCACTAGTTGAACCCACACACACACACACACACACCTATAGCAGCAGCCACTAGTTGAACATTCATACACACCCTCCGTTCTATCATTGACTCCAGGGGAGATAACATGAGTTTTTTTTTCTGTCCTCTGTGCTACACTCACTGACAGTTGATGTCTGATGTCCGACGTCCACAAGTGTTCGTCTCCCACCACACATGGGATGTCCTCCGTCCTCCCCTGCAGGTCATCTAGAGCCTGAAACACACCAGGACAGAGTGAGGGCAGTTGACAGACGTGCGATCGGACTGATTAATAAGCACGTGATTGACAGGTGACCTGACCTTCAGCAGCTCTGCTCTCTCTGCCGTTCCTTCGTTGAAGGACAAGATGGGTTCATTCTGCACGTGCACAGACGAGCACAAGGACGTCCTGAACCTGCACACACACACACACACACACATGTGTTAGGATTTCAACACTCCCGGGGCCCCATTTATCAACAGGGTGCGTACGAACATAGCCACGTAAACTTCTCAACTTGAGAAGCACAGTTCTGACCAAAATCTAGTGGTGACAACAGTTAAACTTTTACTTTTTTTTTTACATTTTGAAGGATTGGTGTGACAAGTTATAAAAGGCAAGCTGTGACTGGAAATACCAGTATCATGTCTTTCTCGGAGGATTTGGAAATCCGCATGCTGCGCAGAGAGTGCATTTTCAAAAAAAAAACAAACAAAAAAACATGCTGATCCGTTCAGCGAGAGCACTTCTTAGCAGGCGCTGCTTTCCCAAAAACATACTGACAGATTTATAATCCGTCTTGGAGCGTGACACAAAACACACCAAAGCCATCCTAGGGCACATCCAGCTCCTTTTCATCCTGGGATTTTTGGCCACCGGAACATTTCAGTGAGAAATTGGGAGACATATGCAACAACAACAATTCACAGTATTTCTGAGTGCAAATTACCCTAAACATACACGATCGTCGTACTTACGAACAGGTGGGATTTTTTTTTTTAGTGCTTTAAGTTTGAAGTTGTTGTTTTGTGCCTACACGCATTCTAAACTTCATTCATACAACAGAATTTAGAACCTTGCTGTCTTGAACTCTCAGTCATTTCATCTTCTACCTCTAGCTGATCTTTAACTGATCTTCATGTCTGTTTTTTTTTTCCACCTCACTCTGGTGTTTGGGGTTCTTTTTAATCCACACCTACCCGGGCCGTGATGTTACGACACCTTCGAACTTGATCTTACAACACCAGTGAAAACAAGCACAGACTTCGCATATATTACAATACATTTAGCAGACGCTTTTATCCAAAGCAACTGTCTCTGAACCTGCAGAAGAGAACTGTGTCCTCACTGTCTTACATTCAGAGCCAGTTTGATCTAGTTTGGTTCAAAGTTATATCACAGCCCAGTGGTTAGTTAATTATCTACACCAGGCGCAGCTGAAGGTCAGAGCGAGCCCCCTCATCCCTCAGAGCCTTGTGTGTTCTTGTTGACCTTGGTGCTTGTGGTCTCCTGATCTCTCCAGGATTTCCTGCTCCACACTCCACATGCATCAGTCTGAAGTGTGGAGTGTGGAGTGTATGAGACAGTCAGTTATATTGTTCACTGTTAGCTCCACTTACTTTGGAGATCCGTTCCAACGGTGCGACATAACTACATGTTCGTGTTAGTCATTTATGCTAACACAGTGACAACAACCCAAAGGAAGAAAAAGTGATTGAAGCACAATCCAGAGTATGGTCTACAACCGGCGAATGTAAACAAAGATGTCTTCTGAGTATAACGCCACGAGACGATGTATTCGTCCGCTTTGCTCACCAAATAGTTCACCCATTTGAATGCCATACATCAGAATGATGGACGTGACCACAAAACGTCAATAGGTGGACGACGTAGTAAACCGAGGACCTCCTGTCACATGGAGAGAAGTGTTGTAGATGTTTCTACTTTCAACTACAATATTGTTTCCTTCTTCTAGTTTGTTCACTATTACCCTTGACAACTGAGTTGATGTTTGCATAAAGTGGGCAGAGCAGACTGTCTGAGATCAGGACAGACAGTCAGTCTCCCGCTGACAGTCTGAATGACACAATAGTCAGATGGATTGTTTGGGACTGTAGCCTGACTAATATTGACAAGGACAACGCCTGGACTGAAGAAACTCACCACACGTTCTACAAGACACCGTCATGATGAACAGTCGTGACTGAAAAACATCAACTCTATGAAGAGAGATTTTGTTTTTTAACTCAAGTAAAAACAAGTGACAAATACCAACATTTAGCTAAGGTAGGTAAGGTAGTTCGTAGTAGAATTAACTACGATCAGGTACAGTAAGGATTGGACAACAACCACTGACCACCACTGTAGCTGTTATTGTTTACAAGCGACCTGACAACAGGTGCTAAGATGTTAGCTTAAGATGTTCCCAACAGTCAGCAACATGGTGTGCTGAGTCTCGTGTCCGCTCACGTGGACCTCGCCTTAGGGTAACTTACCCCCGCACACACCGCCACACTGACGCTGGCACACGTAGCATGTTCCACCAGAGCTGGAGCGCAGCAGAAACGGACACAAATTAACAACGAACAGGTGGAAGGACACTGACACACGGACGTCAGGCGGAGGACTGGACCCTAACTTAGCTCAAGATTCAAAGAGGCGGGACCGCAAACGGTCATTGGTGGAGAGGAGGGCAGTACGGGGTGTGTCTGTGCGTGAGTTTGTCGACACCTTTGATAAAAACACACGCAGCATTCATTTTTTTTCTTTAACCTGTTGAATTATTAATTCGGTTTAGTAGACAGAAAAGGTGAAATTTTCTGTTTTATGAAACCCGCTCAACTCTCGTTACTCTGACGGCTTGGGTGGAGGAAGCGTGTAGCTGTCCAATCAGATAACGGTGACGTCAACCAACCACAGAGCAAAGGAAACAGCTCCATATACGGTCAGCAGTAGTGCCGAATTATCTTTGAAAGTTTTAGGTTTATTCTTCATTTTACTAGCACAATTTACAGTTAATTTTATTTATATTATTTCCCCCAGCAGTCTACATTGAACCAATACTGAACCGGCAAGATAAACTTTCAACCTGATTTTGGCCTGTGAGCCAAAAGGTTTAGTTTATTCTTCATTTTACTAGATGGATATATGGATGGATGGATGGATGGATAGATAGACAGAGCAGAACAGCACCAAAACAACTGGAATAACAAAATAAATTAATGCAGTTCAATTCAGTTCCGAGAATAACAGCACACCATCAAAGAATAGGGAGAACATGACCAATGGATATTAGTAAATAAATAGATTAGCAGGATAATAGTAGTAGTAGTAGTAGAAGTAGCAACAGTAGCAGAAGCAGTATATTAGTATATAACTTTTGTTGTTGTGTGTGGTGTTATTATTGCAATCTCAATAATTAAAGTATACCACATTATCTCTATGGTATGTATATGTACTATATATATATATAAGCAAAATAAGTATACAGTGATCCCTCTCCTATCACGGTAGTTGCATTCCAAACCCACTGCAAAAAGGGAAAATCTGCAAAGTAGGGGTGAGATAGTTATTACATAATTTACATATACGTATATTTACTAGTGGCGCTTTGGCCCAGAGGCAATGTCTCTGTCATTGGTGTGGAACCCCACCTGGGCAAGTTCGAATCCCGGTTAGGGCAGTTGGTACCTTCCAGTGGACTCACCACCTGCAGGAAGGTTCAGGGGGGTTGGGACGGTGCAATGTGATTTGGGTGGAGACTGCTACCCCCGCGACCCGGTAATGGATAAGCGGATGAAAATGGATGGATGGTATATTTACTAGTGGTGTGTGATACTGCACATTTTGGTAGCGATCCGATACCAAGTAAATACGGGCCAGTATTGCCATTACCAATGCTGATCTATTACTTTTCAATAAATAAGGTGGATGTGTCACTGAATTGCTAAATCTCAATCAATTTTCATGACTTGAAGTGTTTTTTGTGATGTTTCCTTTTATTTATAATTAAATAGAAAATGCACTATTATCGACATTTTCTCTCTCCTCCTTTTTCTGTTTTTGTAGCTCCATGTTTTCTTTTGGATTTTTTTTTTAAATATATTTATATAAATTGGTTGTGTTTCCACTATACCTTACTATCCATCCATCCATCCATCATCGTCCGCTTATCCGGGGCCAGCAGTCTGAGCAGGGACACCCAGATTTCTCTCTCCCCAGACACTTCTTCCAGCACTTCCAGGGGGACCCCAAGGCGCTCTTTCTCTAGGTCTCCTCCCGAGCACCTCCCGAGCAGTGACGTGTGGTGAGGTTCATGGCTGGTGAGGCACTGACTTATCTGGAGTCAGGTTTACAATTGTAAGAACTGAAAAGAGCATCTAATTTCACTACACATCCAGCGGCATGTAACTGGTAATGCTTCATATCCCATTCCTCTTTCAATGACACGTACACCAACACAAACATATATACAGGAACATATTTGTCCTACAAAAAAACGTTTCTTTTATAAAAATCAATCAATTCATTCAATCAATTTTTATTTATAGAGTGTGTTTCATGCACAAAGCAAACTCAATGTGCTTTACAGTGGTTCAAACAGTTATATATTAAAAAAAAAGTAAACCCCCTGCCCTTATAGACCCTCGCATCTGCTGAGGAACAACCCCCAAGAAAAACCCTTAATAGGATAAAAAAAGGAAGAAACCTCAGGGTGAGAGACAGAGGAGGGGATCCTCACCCAGGACGGGCAGGCGGGCAGTAGCAAAAACAATCTACAAATATTATTTACAGTTCCAGCTTTCAGTTACAGACAGTCAGCAGGTGGAGGCAGGAGTATGGAGGGGGTCCTGGATCCAGTACAGCGTCTATGGGGTCTAGGTAGGGAGGAAGCACAGAGACTCCGAGGACCAGAGGGTCCCCGGGAAAACATGTTAGTCCAGTGCATTTGGTGTGGGTAATTATAACAAATAGAAACAAAAAATATAACATATGTAGGGTTATGGCTGGGGATAGGGGGTTTAATCAAATGTAGTTGTAAAAAGAAAGGTTTTCAACCTGTTTTTAAACATGTCACTGATGTTGCCAGTTTTATGGTGTCATGCAGGTTGTTCCAGAAGTGAAGGGTATAGATGCAGAATGCTGCCTCCCCTTGCCTAGTGTTACAGCAAGAAATGGATAAGCACACTTCTTGTGTCTAAGCAATTCATATTTACTGTAAACGAATTAAAGTATAGTTGGCGCTTTGGCCCAGAGGCAATGTCTCTGTCATTAGTGTGGAACTCCAGGGTTCACCTCCTGGGCAAGTTCGCATCCCGGTTAGGGCGGTTGGTACCTTCCAGTGGACTCACCACCTGCAGGAAGGCTTGGGGGGGTTGGTGCGGTGCAATGTGATTTGGGTGGCGACTGCCGCCTCCGCGACCCGGTAACGGATAAACGGAAGAAAATGGATGGATGGAATTAAAGTATAGAGATGAGTGCAGCACAAATTTAATTTTGTACTTTCAGTAAGAATTTCAGTTATGTTTCAAACTTAAAACACTAAATTGTAGTGCTTTGATCAAATGTTGTCCATCAAAATGATAAGAAAAAAAATATTTTAGGCCAAAAATGTAGTTATCAAATACTTGATTTTTTTCTACTTACTCCCATCCTATTTTTAAAAAAACAAAAACTTAAATAATCAATGGAGATTAAGGCCAAAGCAGAAAGACGCCCTTGGTCAGTTCGGTTCCTACTGTATGTTTTCAGTCTTTTTAATGCAGAAAATGACCTCTCCACTGATGCTGTTGTAGCTGATTGAGCCAGCTGGAGTAACTTTGTCACCTCTGGAACAGTCTGGATTAGATCCTTCTTGGCCAAAAAGCTGAGAAGCTGTCCAGGTGATTGGCATACATTCCTTACTACTTGCGAGCTGTACATTCCGACACAGCAATATCCGATGTCCACGACTTTGTTTTGCAGTACTTCAAAAAGGGCATCCGTTTCCATGAAAATGCTCTCATATGCCATAAGGAATAAGCACGTTGATGTTTTTGATTTGATCAAAAACATTATATTCTTTTATATGATATATATATATAAATATAATATAATAATATAATATAAATATATATATTTTGATATATTTGATCAAAAATCTTAAATCATATTGATTTGATGATCATATCCTGCAGCCATCATTAGAGTTTTAATGTCCCAGCTATCAGGATTTTCACTTATAAAGTGGAAAACAGGGAACAAATCTGAAAGATACATGCTTATTATCTGCAGCATCCGGGAGTTTGAGCTCCATCGTGTGGGCGCTGCTCTTGGTAAACGTCGCCTTCATCATCCAGTAAGTGGGTACGTTTCGTGGACTTTCTGAAAAATGTACTTGCCATCACGGCAGCCCCATTATAAGTTTGAGCCATTAACTTTTTTAACACAGTTGTATTTTTCCAACACTCCCAAGACATAAGCAGCTACGTCATCAAAGCCCAAAAACACCTCCTTCACTTCACATGCATCACCTTTTATAGCCACATAGTGCAAAATGACAGAAATCTGGGCTTTGTTTGTGACATTGGTAGTCTAATCTACTTCTACTGCAACAAATAAGGCGTCATTAATCTCCCTTTTAATATCCTTTCTGATCACATCCTGTCATCTTTCTCGGCAAAAGCATGTAACAGTTCCACATAGTTGCCCCGATTAGATGAGTTTGCACTCTCATTGTTGGCACGGAATGCTAGCTCCTGTTTGGCTAGGAAACAGGTTGCATTAATAAGGTCTTTTAAAATCTCTCGGTTTCCCTCACCTTAGTATTATGGACGCTAATGTTTAGCCTCCGTTGCTCATCCAATGCCAAATCGATCCTGGAATTTCCAAACGTTTTAAAAGAAATCTGACTTTGAATGTGTGTAGCTGATCTTTCGTGTTTGCTAGGCTTCTTTGCAAATTTTTCAGGTCACAGTATCCCGAATTAGTCCAGACGTTATCACACGATGAAAATAAAAGACAAGGAAAGCAGTAAAGGCGGTTTCTTGCAGGACAGCCACACAGTCTGTATGTTGGTACCACTCGGTTTGAAAAGAACGACTATTCTGACCCGTACTTTGAAGCAAACCTTTTAGCTCCGGCGTTGGTCTTCCATCACTAATCATCTTCTGTTTGGACTGGAAGTCCAGTTTTGAGAAATATTTCCGTCTTGAAATACAATCCATAGTGATTCGGATCAGGCAGAGTATAAAAATGTTCTTCACCTACTCGCTCTGGTTTAGCCGACTTTCAATTGTCTGTTGACGCCAGCTGCAGAGCACCTGTCAGTTCACATACGACCCCTTGAGGTGAGACAGAGTACTGTTTGCCTCCCCTGCTGACTTTTCTCTGCACTTTATTGGCTGAAACAGAAACAGGCCCGCGTCATGTGACCCAGTTTGATTGGATAGTGCAGTCAAAAGTGAGGCACAGCTCATCGGTGCCTCATCCGTGACCCCTTGAGGTTAGGCAGAGTACTGTTTGCCTCCCATGCTGACTTTTCTCCACACTTTATTGGCTGGAACAGACGGGCCCACGTCATGTGACCCAGTTTGATCGGATCGCGCAGTCAGATAAGAGGCACAGCTCGTAAAAGAAACCAACTAGACAACATCATCCACCAAAAACAGAGATGAAATCTGGTGGCTCCCGCACTGGACCCCACCCGACACATGGCTGAGCCTAGACTCCCGACAATGCGAACCAAGCTCCTACTCCGGTGGAGGGTATTCTACACTGCTAGGCCGGGTATTCTAAACTGCTATTCGGCCCCTAGGCCAGAACAACAGTGAGGCACCTATCCCTGACCCGAAGGTGCAGGGAAGCCACGTTCTTGCTCAGTGGGGAGAACTCCAACACACGACTGGCGAACTGGGGAGCTCTAAGCAATCCTACACCGGCACGCCGCCTCTCACCGTGATCAACTCCAGGTTTGAACTGCTTTTAGTCTGATCCGTTGTCTAGGACCTGTTTGCCTTAGGAGACCCTACAAGGGGCATTAAGCCCCCGACAACATAGCTCCTAGATTTATTCGGATACTCAAACCCCTCCACCACGTTAAGGTTGTGGTTCCAGGAGGGGTATACCTGACTAACAAACAATTTTACAAATCAAACATTTTGTTGTTGTCTTGTTTTATTACAAATCCCACATTTTGTTGTTGTCTTGTTTTCAGCTTCAAAATACAGCTGTTGTATTTTCTGATGAATCTGAGCCAACTTGCTTGGTTGATTGCTTTGCGCGTCTAAGTCACGTCACGTGACTCCCGTGACGGCACAACATCTAAACACAAGAGGGGGGAGAGGGAGCAAAGTGTGCCTGCTCTGCGCTGACACAGGAGCCGTGAGTCCGGTAACCTGGCTGTTTCCTCTTGCCGAAACCGCAGCATTGCAAACCAGAGCGGAACTTAAAGAATCGATCTCTCTAGGCGACAGTGGTTGCTCCTTCAGTGGTTCCGAGGGTGCCTGGGGACGTTGCACCCTCGGAGGTTTCTGTTTCGGTGACTGACGCTCCCTCAGCAATTCTTGGTTCGGCTGGGGGAGACCTTGTGACTATTGGCATGCCTTGGTCTAGGAGAGGGACTCCTGACCAAAGACACAAGTTCCCTAGACCAAGGCACAAAAAGGGCCAGGCCAAGTATTACTGTAATTGGACCTGGAATTTTTTTTCTTCTTCTTCCGTTTTTTTCCCCTTGGGCCTAGGGTTTTTTTTTTAAATCTTTTTGAATAGGCCTTATTTTCAGTTTATCTGTTTTGGTTTCCCTCCCACCCAACCCAGAGAGTTGGTGGTAGGCTTTTGGACGTCCAGGGAACGTCCATTAGGAGGGGGGTACTGTCATGTCTCTGTTTCCTTTTCCTGTTGTCTGCTTTGTGGGGTAATCTGTGGGATCACACTCACCTGTTGGTAATTAGCTTCACTTGTGTCACCTGGTGCTCCCTGTGTATATATACCCCTCTCCCTCACTCTGGCCTGGTTGGATCATTGTGATTGTGTTGAATCATTGTGATTGTGTTGGATCATTGTATCTGCTCCTGTGCTCAGCTTAGTGTGTCCTTCGAGTTCTTAGGTTGTACTTAGTAGTTCATTCCTTGTCTGGTTTATGCCTTGTTCCTGGTCTTGTGAAGAAGTGAGTTTTTTTGTTGTTTTGGCCTTGCACCAGACTACCTACACCAAAAAGAGTCTCCCCAGTGCTGCTTTTGGGTCCTGCAGTGCAATAAAAACACATCCAGTGGTGTTTAAATAGTCAAAAACCTTTATTCATCAGTCAACCAAGTTAAGACAGACAGTCATTACAGCAACAACCATCATAAATACCCACACTTCCCATAAAACCCTTTTATTTCTACTAGATATGTTAACTCGAGCTCAGATTTCAAATGTTTTTTAAGGTAGATCCTGTTATATCAGGACACTATGGCTGCTGTACCCCACTCAAATGCACTTGACCCCAAAAGTCCAGATTCTAGGATTAGTGTTAGTGCAAGTATACCATACCTGCGCGTGGAGCATTTCCCTGCTACGGCACGCTACCCATCACCAAAGTGAGCAGGGGGCAGCTTTAAGCACCCGGCGAGCAGTGTGTGGGGATGGTGCCATGCTCAGAGCACCTCAGAGGTAACTTGGCAGCTGGTGGACTCAAACCTGAAGCCTTCCGGACCCAAGTCTGCTTTCTTAACCATTGAGCCACCACTGCCCCATGAAAAACACCAGTACCACACTATAAACTAGGACATGGTTTACTTTGGCTTTAGATCACGTCTAGAGATGTCCGATAACCCTAACGCTAATCTTAACTGCCCAACCCATATTAGTGCCCACCGTCCCCCCCGGACCCACTGGAGCTGTGGCCACCGTCGCCTCCGGAACCACCGGAGGTGTGGCCACCATTGCCTCATGAGCCACCGGAGCTGTGACCACCATCGCCTCCGGAACCACCGGAGCTGTGACCACCGGAGCCTCCGGAACCACCGGAGCTGTGGTCACCGGAGCCTATGGCACGACCGGAGGTGTGGCCACCGTCGCCTCCGGCACCACTGGGGAGGTGAAAGCCTCAGGAACCTCCGGGTAAGTGAGCAACGGAACCACTGGAGACCCCGAATCCATAGTTTTTTTGTTGTTTTGGCCTTGCACCAGACTACCTACACCAAAAAGAGTCTCCCCAGTGCTGCTTTTGGGTCCTGCAGTGCAATAAAAACACATCCAGTGGTGTTTAAATAGTCAAAAACCTTTATTCATCAGTCAACCAAGTTAAGACAGACAGTCATGACAGCAACAACCATCATAAATACCCACACTTCCCATAAAACCCTTTTATTTCTACTAGATATGTTAACTCGAGCTCAGATTTCAAATGTTTTTTAAGGTAGATCCTGTTATATCAGGACACTATGGCTGCTGTACCCCACTCAAACGCACTTGACCCCAAAAGTCCAGATTCTAGGGCTAGTGTTAGTGCAAGTATACCATGCCTACTAGTGGAGCACTTCCCTGCTATGGCACGCTACCCATCACCGAAGTGAGCAGGGGGCAGCTTTAAGCACCCGGTGAGCAGTGTGTGGGGACGGTGCCATGCTCAGAGCACCTCAGCGGTAACTTGGCAGCTGGTGGACTCAAATCTGAAGCCTTCTGGACCCAAGTCTGCTTTCTTAACCATTAAGCCACCACTGCCCCGCGAAAAACACCAGTACCACACTATAAACTAGGACATGGTTTACTTTGGCTTTAGATCACGTCTAGAGATGTCCGATAACCCTAACGCTAATCTTAACTGCCCAACCCATATTATCCGCCAATATCAGCATACTTATGTTATACCACTGGGAATTGTGTATTGTTTTTATTAACAGTTTAAAAGTTTTCTAATTCACTCACAGGGTCAGCATTCCAGTGAAAGCCTTCATCATCCAGCACACTGGCCAGTTTAACGTTAAAGGGCCAGTAGAAATCTCTGAGAAGTTCCTTGGTTTCTGAAAGCATGTCCCCCAGAGGTTTGTCCTCTGCTCTCCGAGTGTTCCACGCAGGTTTGCTGTTCACCCGCGCCTCCTCCTCTGCTGTAAGAGGATCTATAAGAGGAGAGCTACTTTCACCGACATCACTGGTTTCATTGAAAGACAAGTAAGAATGTTAACTGGCCAGGTATTTGGAAATATCAAGATGCTTCTTCAATAACAATCAATAAAGACAAAAACACATTATGTCCTCGATCTGGATTTAAAGGCGCAAGCTTTATACTACTAGGAACAAACCACAACCAGGAATTAAAGTAAATTGACAGGCTGTATCTACAAGGAGGGGGACATGCACTGGACTCCTGCCCCCAGATAGAGAAATTAAACCACAGGGAGAAGATAAGCGATGGTCCGTCAGTTTTGCCTGTTTGTGTATTGGACACATGGCAGAAAACTGATCCTGTGCAGAATGTGGTTTCAAACATCCAACCATGCTTCACGTGGAAATGGACAGCAGTCATTTAGGGGGGAAATCAGTGGTGGAAGTGGACAGCACCTTGGTGTCAAGTGGGCTCACCACTTACTATGTATGTTCCTGTGTAGGTTAAATCCAAGAAAGGCAACAAGATCGTCACTACCTATGCTTTCTTGGATCAAAGAAGTACAGCAGTCACCGGTTTTGCACAGAAGGACTGATGCACAAACTAGGACTCAAAGGAAGGAGGTCACATATCCTCTTTAGGAACATAGACCAAGAAAAGGTTGTGAGTAACCACATTGTCTCAGGACTGGGTGTTGCTGGTTTGTAGAGTGGCAACGTTTGTGAAGTGCAGAGGATTTACACACAGGAGCTTATGTCTGTCCACATAGGGAACATTCCCAGAGAAGGACTTTCAAAACTTGGCTTATTTGACATCTGTACACCTGCCTGAGATAGATGCAAATGCTAATTGGGACTAAGGCTTTGGAACCACTGGTACAAGTTATTTGCAGTGTAAATGGTGGACCTTATGCAATCCAGCAGAAGATGCAGATATGTTGAGGTTTCTACTGTGCCCTGGTGGTGATATCAAACAAGACCTCACTGACTTCAGGATGATAGTGCATCTCTTTGGGGCAACTTTGTCTCCCAGCTTTTTTAATTTTGCCCTTAGTGTTAGTGCAAGTATACCATGCCTGCTCGTGGAGCACTTCCCTGCTACGGCACGCTACCCATCACCGAAGTGAGAAGGGGGCAGCTTTAAGCACCCGGTGAGCAGTGTGTGGGGATGGTGCCATGCTCAGAGCACCTCAGCGGTAACTTGGCAGCTGGTGGACTCAAATCTGAAGCCTTCTGAACCCAGGTCTGCTTTCTTAACCATTAAGCCACCACTGCCCCATGAAAAACACCAGTACCACACTATAAACTAGGACATGGTTTACTTTGGCTTTAGATCACGTCTAGGGATGTCCGATAACCCTAACTCTAATCCTAACTGCCCAACCCATATTATCGGCCAATATCAGCATATTTATATTATACCACTGGGAATTATTTATTGTTTTTATTAACAGTTTAAACGTTTTCTAATTCACTCACAGGGTCAGCATTCCAGTGAAAGCCTTCATCATCCAGCACACTGGCCAGTTTAACGTTAAAGGGCCAGTAGAATTCTCTGAGAAGTTCCTTGGTTTCTGGAAGCATGTCCCCCAGAGGTTTGTCCTCTGCTTTCCGAGTGTTCCACGCAGGTTTGCTGTTCACCAGCGCCTCCTCCTCTGCTGTAAGAGGATCTATAAGGATGGAGGGATAAAAGTGTGACACATGACACATGTGACTTTGGAGCAACTGGCTCAACACGAGAAAGACCTTGAAGGTCAACATCCAGAAAGACAGATTGAGACTTGTAGAGAAGTGTGCATGAAGACGTACCAATATTAAGAAACTTGTAGGCCCTGTTGAGTTCATCGACTAGATTGTTTGCGTAGTCCTCGAATCGCACAATGAAAATGTGGTCCCTGCCGTAAAGACCGATCCAGTCCATTAAGAACACAACGTACATCCCCACATTTAATTTTGCCTGTGGAGAGGACAGAAGTAAATCAACACCTCATGGTTTGTCTGTGTTACAAATTCATCTGCCAAACAGAACAAACCAAATGAGCAAAGGTGGTCTACATGCTAACAAATGTCACTGTACATTGTCCAATCCATCTATGGTGCTGGTTGGAACTGTTGGTCTCAACTGAGAAGAGTGTCTCAGCAATGGTACAATTAGCTTGGGTGCCTTTATATTTTCATCAGTTTTGAGGTGGACCTAAATCAAAATTCTGGTGTGTCCACATCTCTGGGACTGAGCTGCAGAGACAGTTAAACATCTCCACAGTGGCTCTTCCTCTTCATTAAATAAAAGATTTACCCAAAGTTCCAAAAACCGAGGTGGGAGGGTAACCCGCACCTTCAAGTCCAGGAACCCAGTTCTACTTCTCAGCTTTGGTCAGAAAAGTTCTTGAACCAAACCCCATTTTCTTATGGTACCAGTTCACATCCCACCTTGCCTCTCTGCTGAGGAAAGGGTCAAAGGACAGAGGACTTACTATGTGTTAGTGTATGAGGGGGTGAGTTACTGTATGTGGACCTCCCTATACTGTCTGGACCTCTTGGACAAGTATTTCCATTTTGGTTCCTAGAGAAGTTGGAGCGATGAGCTCAACTTACCGGCATTTGATAATTAAATTCCGTTTCGTAGACACACCATCGAAAAGACCTCTTAGACAGACAAGAGTAAAACATCTGCACCGACTCTTCAACCATGACGTGGAAGTCCTGCACTGACTTGTTCCCGTTTGTGCAGTACAGATATTCAGAGAACAATCTGGAAAACAGAGGACCAGACAGCAGAACAGCGTTAGGACAAATTACTGGAATGACCCGAAACCTTTCACATTTTATGGTTCATGTGAGTGTGTCAAGTGACATATTGAACTGGACTTCCATGTGGTATAGTACCTCTCTCCTGGGTCTCTCAGAATGGCTATGAATTTAGCCTGAGGTGTAACTGCGTGGATAAAGTCCATGGTCATGACTCTGGGTTCAGTGTCCTCAGTGGTGTTGTAGTAGTAACCCCAGACCTGGTTGTTCCACATGGTGGATGTGCTGCCGTCAACTGTCAGGAAATTAAAAGTTAATATAATGAGTCTGGTCCACATTATCATACAGTGTTTCAGTCTACAGCCTCCGCCCCCTCCTCTCTCTCTCTGTCGCTCTCTCTGGAGTCAGATGAACTCTTTATCTCTCTCTCTCTCTCCCTCTTGTGCATTGGTGTGCTGTGTTGCAATGACAAGTAATTAACTTTAGGGTTGTTATTTTTGTTTGTTTCTCTCTCTCTCTCTCTC